ACTCCACTGAGAAGGCTATTTGGGCCCATCTTCAGAGAGCATTAGGGGCTCCCAAATGTCCGTACAATACAACATGTGTAATTATTGAAGCTCACCGTACATTGTTCTACCTTTTTGTTTTTGCTAATCTATCTGACTGCCTTTGAGGGCAATAATTTATTCATTTTGTATGCATAGGACCTGACAAAATAAGTAATAGTAGCATTCAAAACATTTTAAATAGTGTGTCAAGTCAATTCCTGGTTTGTAATAATGGGGAAGTTTATACAATTTTTCTACAACTTATTGCTTCCAGAGGGGAGCATTTCAAGAAGGGCATGGGTAATGGTTTTGAACATTACAGTTGGGCAAAACTGTTTAATTTTTCTAAGCCTAGCTCATCAGAGAGACTTTTCAGCAGTTTCTAACATGATACAAAAGTCATATGGCAGAAAGTGTCCATTGAATTCAGGAGAAAGATCATTTGATTAACCATTTTGAGACAAGCCCCAGTGGAACAGTGGGAGTTGAAACAAGGAGTTGAAACCAGAGGAAAGTGGGAGTTGAAACAGTGAGCCAAACATTACACTGAACATGTAAAGAAGAGGCAGAGGTACAGACCACTCTCATGAATATTTACTTTATATAGAGGGGATGGGCAATAGATACAATTGGTTGTTGTTCTAAGGAGTTTCCTTTATTAGTTTGGAGAAGGGGAGATTTGAATGTATAGTAATGAAATGTTTAAAGGAAAGAGGCAATATAGAGAAGTTAACAAGGAGAGGAACAATCTGCAGAGCTAGATCCGAGGCGGCTCCTAGGAGGGAAATGGCATGGAAATGCAAATGGACAGATTTATTTGAGACAAGAGAAGGGATGCCATTTTTTTTTCCCCCATTTCGACAGGGTTACATGGAAAAGGATAATGTGGATATTGACAAGATTATAGGCTTTTAGGTAGTATTGATGTAACCCCAGTGAGGGCTTCAAAAGCAATGGTAGCATAGCACACAATTAGGAGCACACGGTCTAAGGGACAACCCTGGATTTACATTCCAGTTCACCCTCTTAAGAGCATAACCTTGAGAAAGCAATTTAACATGCTAGTGCCTTGTTTCCCAGTGATTATAATCATGCACTTACCCTCCTTGAGTGGTCTAAAGAATTGATCAGTTAACACACATAAATTCATATAACACTGCTGTGCATAGTAAGCTCTATATATGTTCACCAGCATCAGAGTGTGAAGCACGGATTGTCCCACTTCCGCTGGAAGTGCCTGAGTGATGGTAGATTCAGAGATTTTAATAGAAGACTATTTGAAGGGAATAACGCAGAGCACAAAAAGACCTGGTGCAACATAAAAGTGTTAAGCAGCAACAAGGACCCAGTTTAAATTGGGGGTCACGGCCGGGCGTGGTAGCTCACGCCTGTAATTTCAGCACTTTGGGAGGCTGAGACGGGCAGATCACCTGAGGTCAGGAGTTTGAGAACAGCCTGATCAATATGGTAAAACCCCGTCTCTACTAAAAAGACAAAAAAAAAAAAAAAATTAGCTAGGCGTTGTGGCGTGCGCCTGTAGTCCCAGCTACTTGGGAGGCTGAAATGGGAGAAATGCTTGAACCCTGGAGGCGGAGGTAGCAGTGAGCTAAGATCCTGGCACTGCACTCCAGCCTGGGCGACAGAGAGAGACTCAGAA